AATAGGAAATGAAATAAATTTGCCTAAATTTGCAAAATTATACAGTATTGTACAATCGTCGAAAATATATATTACAAATCATTAAGATTTTCATCATAATTTTTTATTTTGATTTTAAAATGTCAATGTTTTTCCAAAATTTATTCAGAAATATTGCCATAAATATTGTATGTGTTTTTATATATAAAATCAAGTTAAGATGAGAATAAAATTTAAATATTTTTATTACATAATACATATCTTAAAGTATATTTTTTTGAAAAGCCAGAACTGATACGTGATGAAAAAATATTTTGTTTTCTGATTGAACATTGTCGCGCAATAATCAATTTGCGCGTTAAAGTTCAGCGAGTTCCTTGCTTTAGAAACAAGTTCGACGCGCAATAATAATTATGTCAGCGTTATAAAACACTTTCCTCTGTATTTGGCCGACTGCCAAGGTCCCTTGCCACACTCGAGTTCCATCTATTGAAGGTACACGAGTACACCGCGGAATACGTGAACGTGATGCTTTGATGGACCTGGTCGTTCACGACGACAACGGCGATGACAGCGTACGCCCGCGGATTACGTATGAGAAGACACATAAACAATACGCGCCGTATAACAACCCCATGTAGCTCGCACACACGCGGCACCCGCGACACGTACACACACACACACACACGGTGACCGTGTGTGTCTCATGCATTGATCAATCGGCTAGTGACGTGTATAGAACGCTCGGATCGTCGGGTATATAAGCAAACCGCCGAAAAGCAGGGACATCATTCAGTTACTGTTCATCAGCAGCTGATCTCCTACGATCCAAAGCAGACCAAACAGCCATGAAGTACTTCGCCGTAAGTATACTGAGACAACATCCTGTTATAGATATCTCTCTTGCTGACATTTTTTTTCTTATGCATTCGCTAATACTGTTGGATAAAGCAATCGGTCGGCAAATTGCTCGCGAATTTACGGTTCACGGATCGATGATCTATCGATCTCTGTGCACTCGTGCGTGTTGCATGAAATAATCCGACAGCTCTTTATCGATAATTCACTCATTGATCATGCTACGTCGATTTAGCCTAATTACCGCAATTATCAGTAAATCGATCGGCTTGATCAGCTGCGCGTTCCGGTTTCAGATCAAGACATTCACGGTTGCATGACGCTGTAATAATCTCTCGTGTGCTCTCGTGTGTACTGTAATATTATTGATAGTAATCAATCAGGGGACATTAACGTCCCTTTACAATCCTTCAAAAATTTGCTTTGATGTTTGTAGTTCGTCTAATGTTAAATTGTCAATTGCCGAAATTTAAAAACTCGGATACTCTCAAGATCATATTCTTAGAATTGCAAATCGTATCTTTTTGTTGGTCCGTATTTTATCAATTCTAATTTTCAATCTATTTAGCACAATTATCAATTCTAATTTTCAATCTATTTAGCACAATTATGCAATATAGAAATAAATTTCACATTTTATTCCATTTGCGAACGTATAATGCAGCGAATACACCAGTTCAATATAACATTCTATTAAAAATTTCTCTTTCACATATCCTGCAAATTTATAATTTATTTTTACATGCCATTATGTTGCTAGAAATGTTGATAAAATATTCAATATAGCTTTGAAGCACTCCGCATATATTTATTAAATATATTTTTAAATATTGTAATAAATTTTTTAAAACGTGACAATACTCGATCTCTGCTTTTACGCAGTCTACGAGAACTGAACGGCTAAAACATCGGCCATTCACGAATTAATTGAAACTTATTTTTTTCAAGGTTGCTCTTCTCTTGGCTCTCTTTGCCGTCGCTATGGCGAGTGAAAAAAAGTCTAAAATCGAGGTCGAAAAAGTGGACGCGACAATACAGGCGCCAGTCGATGAAGCTGCTAGGGATAAACGGGGGGCTGTCGTATTGAGCCATCCGTATGCGCCACTCGCATACTCTGCGTATTCACCGTACGCGTACAGCGGCTTGCCGTACCCTTACCATCCCTATTACCGCTACTCCTATCCCTACTCTTATCCCTCTTATCCCTCTTATCTGAACTACTTTGGTTAAAGCACGACAACTGGACCGGCAACTCGAGATTAAGGATTCATAAGGACGCGGATCACGGAAACCTCAGATTTTGCTCAAGGTGCATGTTTGCACGTCTAATTTACTACTGAGATCTTTCATAATTAAAAACGTGTTTGACTTCTCTTCGACTATAATATGTACTTATCGTAATAAAGTAATACTAAGTAGAAAACAAGTGAGTTTTTTCTGGCAAAACACATTCTACCTTTCCTTCCCTGTAATTCTCCACGTAATTTTATACTTATTCAACGTGGAACTGTACTTTTTAAATATTATCGTGTTATCTTTAACAGAATATCGAGAAAATAACATCACAGTTAAATTGTTATTAATGATTCGGAACAGCATTTGTCTTCGACAATTGTGGATTTAACATTGCTATATAATGCGCATTAAATTTGACTCTATTTTCGAACTATCAAAATTTGTCAAATGATAATTCATAATGTAATAAGGCCAGCAGATTATTTACGCTTTACTTGGAATACGCTATCCTTAGGCTATTGAAAGGGTTTATTATAGGGATAATTTGCTTACTCTATGTATGAGATGCATTACGCGAAGTAAATAACCTGCGGTAATTGTGGTGGATAATTAACGGGAAAGCATCGTAAATTTTAATGACTATGAAAACACGTTAATTTGAATGTAATTTATGTAACCGCAGATAGCGCATATATCCAATGTTCAAACATCGTTTTCATAGCCGGCGTGTTTATTGCGTATACATTTGCGATTTTACATCCAAATGTGACTGCATAATGTACGAATCAGAGTAGGAATTTTCAGATGTGACGCCGGAAGGCGTCAAGCGGAAACGATTGACGTCATTAAGAGACTATGCTCGCACGATGAAATGAGTTGAAGCTCGTAAACGCACGTAATATGGGGTTGCATTAGCGTCGTCGTGTTACACCGTTAGTGAACATCGATTTCACTGACGCGACATATGAATTCCATTACTCATGCGGTCATATTGTACTTTAATTAGTCATGCCGTAATACGGCCTTTCAATCTAATCTTACGAAATCAAAGTAAAACAACATTGCTTTAACAAGAGTTGATTAATCATTTTCTACATTCATTACTTTCTGTAATTAGAATTTGAAAAATTTACACAATTTTGATTTGGCGTTTAAGAAAACATTACTTGAAATATTTTACAAAATATGATAGATATATAAAATAAAAATTTTATTATATTCGTTAAAATAATTAATAAATTATATGAAAGAATATTTTGATTGAAATAAAACGTAATATTTGGTGAAATCTTTTATAACAAGTTTGAAGAGTTCGCGACGAGATATGATCCGATTAAAAATGTTACTGATGTCGTCTAGAAAGTATGCAAAAAATTTGGTTGTTTTTACGATTTATTTGACGGATTCGCGATGTTTCGTATGTGTGTATAATTGCGTCGCAATCTGACTGCGAAATGTGCCTGCTTATAAATTCCGCAGCTGAAGAAGGACAGGCGAGCGGCACGCCCAGCTCGATTATCCAATTCGATTTCAGTTTTTACGCGTTACCGGTCGCATCCGCGTAACACCGGAGGCGTCCGGAATAATACAGAAATGCGTCGGAATCGCCACGCTCGAGGCATGGCGTTCACATGCGTCTGATTTACGCATAATCGCACGTTACGCAATCCGAATACATCCCTACGAATGAGCGCTTATTCCGTATTCCCTGAGACCCGAAACTTTGCCCACGCCGGAAACTTTCACCGGGAGACCCGGAGAGGAGAGCCGGGCGTGCGTGACGGGAATGCCGAGCGACGGCATTCGCTGCGTTTCACGCAATCGCACGTCATCCCCCCCGGTGATCCCGTCGGAAGTTCACGATGACTCCCGTTTCCTCCGTCGTCTCTTATTTCCCTATCGAGAGCACAATTTACAGATGATGCACGCGCGCGCGCGTTTGAAGGATGCTGCGCGCGAATGCGAGTTCCCGACTTTTCATCCGTCTTTATATATCCATTTTCACCACGGCGCGACGGGGGAAGAGAGCCACTCTTTATCACGGCGAGAAACGCGACCCCACTCGCGTTTGTACCTTTTATTAAAAGCGAGTATTACGATTTTAAGTGCCGCTCCGCTTTTGATAGCGGCTAATAAGCCAATTTGGCTTTCACAGACTTTTAAGCTACGCTTCGTTATTTCTTCGTTCGTAAGACACGGCGTTGTCGAGATTCGTCGGTGAAATGTTTTAGGTGAATAAGACGTTCCTCTTTTTATCCGGAGTGTCGCTAAATTATACGCGATGTCATTAATTTGTCTCAAAGCGTACCTTTTAATTAAATTTACACACCTTTTAAAATGATACACTGTGTATTTACTTTTCATAAATATTTGATATTTTTTTAACCGTATCTCTGCTTCTCACAAATGATGATAATTTCATGACTTTATTATTATTTTTATAGTCTGTACGCAAATAATATAATTATTAAAATATAGAATGTCAATATTTTGTATCGGATATCGAATTGTTTACTTCGCTCACGTTTCGCCGCCGGCCGTTGTGTTACGGAAGATAACAGATTTTGGCAAGTAGCCGCGAAATTTGGGACCACTCCGAATATACGACGTGTCCACTTTGCATCGATATGTATAACATGACAAATCCGTAACAGTATTGCTTAAGTTCGATCGATGAAAGCCGGTAAGAAAGTCTATTATAATTCGTGGACGGTCGCGACCCGATTGTATTTATACATGTGCAGGTATGGTTGTAGCTTAGTCGGCGCGTACCTGTCCATCCTCGAACAAATTAGTTTCTTTGGTTTGCGTAGTCTAATTCAATGTCGAGACCTCGTGGGAAGTAGCACGGTTTCTTGCTGGAGAAGAGACAATCGGGATTATCTTAGTGCAGTGCTAAGTGAGATAAGGATTACAAGCATCCGAAAATGCGGCACGTTCTCGTAAGCATGTTCATAACTTTTGATTTTTATCTAGAACATACGATTTTATTACATTAACGTTCAACGCATGTAAACAATACAATTTAAATACAAATAATAAATTATATATAACAGAATATTTGTACTATATATAATGATTTTTACTCTAACATTTGAAGCATCAATTTTGACTCTGCAAATATATTCAGATAATAAATTTCATTGATAAAGTAAATATATTTAATTTACCAAAATAATAAATTTTATTGAGTTTATTTTTTATGCATTTTATAATTTAATTAAATTTTATTAACTTTATTCTTTTAATATTCTTTCTTCTAATTCTAATTTAACTTTTTGTCTTAGGTCATTTATGTTCTCATATTGGTGCTTTCGCTGACCCAAGCCGAAAAAAAGGTGAAAGTGCAAGAGCCAGAAGTCACGAAATTAGAAGTGGTGAACCTCGGCGAGGCCGAGATCGGGCCGGATCTCAAGCAGTCCGACGTTCAACGGAAACGAGATTCCGGATTTAGCTATAGCAGACCGAATCGTGTCTCTTCGAGCGGTCGCTTTCGCTTCCAAGTGCATCAATCAAAAGGTCAAATCGCATCCAAAGTTCCTAGTCTGTTAATCAGACCGTTTACGAAATACGGACCGCCGAGTCACTCGACTTCCGGTCCGATCACGCACGGACATGCTGAACAGCAGCGAAGCAAATTGCATCACGTCAATCAACAGCAGTCGATCAGATTCGACTACGGATTGGTCGACCAGGAAGTGCCGAGCCCGATTCGAAACGTGGACTTCGCGGAAGCGAGTTCGATCGCCAGTCAGAACAACGAGCCCTTTGGCATGCACACGGCCAATTATTTACCACCGCAGAATCAAAAGCTGCCGGCTTATTCGTCGACGGATAATTTCACTCCCCAATCGCATCCGCCGAGTTCGTCGGCCGCACAAGTTCAGAGCTCGCAGAGCCAGAACTTCATCTCGCAGCCGCAGAATCAGATCTCTGACGCCGCGCTTTTCCTGTCCGAGAACGCGCAGGCGATTCAGCAACTGTACGGCGCGCCCGCGAGCAGTCAGAATTTTGCGCCCGGCAACGAGCAGTTTCACGGCGCCGCCGGTAATCAAATTCAGAGGCCAAACGATCAGTTCGGAAATTTCGAGAGCACCTCGCAGAGCCCGCAGGAGTTCGGAGGCGGCGCGCTGCCCCCGTACGCATCGGGCACGCTCAATCCTCACGAAACTCTGCAACAGATTCAGTCCTTGGAGAAAGATCGGCTGATCGTGCAGCTGCAGCAAGCTCTCGCTCAAGCGCGGACCACGCCGAGCGCCGAAGCGGCGGCGAGGTACGCTCAGAACCAGGCGAGTTTCATTCAGAATCAGGAGCTGCTGGCATCCATCAGCCAACAAGTGAAGCAGCATGTCACGACGCCGCCGCAGAGCGCGGTTTTCGCAACCGGAAGTACCGCTTTCAGCCAGTCCCCTTTCCTGCCGGGCAGCACCACGATAAATCCTTCGGAGCTGCCGTTAAACTACGGCGTGCCGACCACCGTGCAAACACCGACGACGACCGTGACGGGAGCGCCCGTCGTTCAAACCCCGCCATCGTCCAAGGGCGACGGCACCGCTCAAGTAACGCTGCCACAGCCCGCGCCTAATCGGCCAGGATCGCCCGCGATCAGCTCCGCCGTGGGAATCCCCGTTTACGGTGGCTTTGTGCCAACCCTCATCACGGGAAGCAACCTGCTCCCCAGTTACAGCACCAGCATTCTCTCGCCTGGACCAGTTAGACCGGGGCAGTCCGCCGGCGCGTCGCCTACTCACTTCGGGATACCGATTCCCACGGAACCGCCTGCGAAACCGGGATCGGCGATCCCGGCGACGACAATACCGTCGGTCGCTTTCAAGCCCGATCAAGCCGGGGTCGCTTTCGCGCCTGCGTTCACGCCGGTCGCTCTGCCGGTCCAACCGTTACGACCGATTAGCGCGCCGTTGCATCCCCTCGCGACGCCGGTGCATCCGGTCGCACCCGGCAGCGTGACGTCGAGCGTGCAGCACACGTACGACGTGCAGACGGCGTTGATCAATCCCGGCGTCCTTTACAAGCCGGTCAAAGCGGTCCTGCCGGTGTATTACTATCCCAATGTCGCGTACCAGAAGCCCGCGCTCGCCGTCGCCGGCTGGCCGAGCTATCCTTGGAGTTACGCGCCTACGTACGCGCAGACGAAGCCGGCGCAGATATGGAAATGAGAGGCGTTGCTCCCGTTCCTTCGCGAAAACGGATCCGCGAATATCGCGGATCGCGGTATCGAGGCTGACTGCTTACCCGCGCGGAAAAGAGAGAGGAAGAGATTGAAGAAGAAAGTTATGACGGCGGAGAGGAGAGCACTATTTTGTGCGAGTCTGCGTGATTTGGACGTGCTAATGACGTTGCGCCGCGTCGCCTATTAACTTTTTTTCACGATTTCATTTTCTTCTTTTGGCGAGAGAGTTTCGTGCCGGCAAAAAGGGCCACGAATCAATCGTTTCAGCGGCAAGTTTTATTCGTTTTGATTCGCGGAAAAATTTCGCTATCGTCGTGACGAAAATTGAGACTTTTTGTCATCGAAATTTTTAAGTAGAAATATGAAAACGCAAAGAATAATACTTTTTCTTAACGAAGGACTTTGCCGTTTTAATATATAAATGATTAAATTATATAAAAAAAGCAATCAATTTTTTTACTCAAAAATTTTCTTTATTAATGTTTTATACAAACAAGTTATTTGTTTTCTGTTACTAACTTATTTAAATGATATTTTTTTTACTGTAATTGTAATGTCTTAACTCAAATCTCTGTAGGTAATCTTACGTTTATATAAGAATAATTATTAATATATTCTAATAGAATATTTAATTAAAGACTCATTTCAAATTCTCACAGCATAAGTGAAGTATCAGCTGCAATTAACTGGTGAGAAATTCCATGCAACGATAATATTTTCCGTATCATGGTTTCTCTGTTTTGATGAATAATTACTCATTAAAATTCCCTCTGTTGGATGAATAATTGCTCATTAAAATTTGTCCGTAATGTGCATTATTACTTGCACAAATTTAAATAGACGCTATACACATAGTTGGCCTGTCGAACATTGCACTCGCATGCGTATTATAAACTTTAGAAAACGACGGATTACACACATTTTATTCTGCAGCGCTTAGCACAACATGCGTGTTCCGCTATTGAAAGAGTTACTATGACGATGGTTCAATACGTGACTTGTTCCGAGCATTCGCTGTACCATCTGCTATTGCACCGGCTTTGAAATGCCTTCTAGAAAGTGACATCGTGCAAGGTGATAATGAGCGCAGTTGTTTCATTAGAATTGGTCTAACGCCGTGAGAATGACAAGCAAATGTTTCTTAATTGTCGATCACGCGTAAGAGAAATTTCGCCATTCATGCAAATCTGCGAGGATATTATTTCGAAAATAGAGATCCTCGCTGTCTTGATTGCATGTATAATGCTTGTGAATTATTGCGCGCGAAACAGTTTTATCCTCGCATATGTAAATATATACGTTTCTATTTATTTCGCCGGCAAATAAATATATTTTTTTTACTTTGGAAAGCAATTCTTTTTCGATATCCCGTCACCATTAATTCGAATAGAATCATTTGGTTTTAATGTAGAGCGTGTAACTAAAAATATTTCACAAATGCGTTCACATTGAAGTAAATGCAGATAGAAATACGTTTGACAAAATATTTTAGCGACGCACAATATTATTATTTTATAACATTTCTTTCTCGTAACAACGGGAAGTATTTTTATAAACTATATAAGTTGTATAGAATCTGAAACATTTATAAATAAGCGAATATAATATATTCGCATATTTATTCTGAATTCAAATGTCCGAAATGTGCACATAATGTCAATCACGCGTATTCCATATTATCACGATGGAAAGTTGAGCCGAGAAAATAGACTGCCGGTCACGCTTCCGGCTTGGGACGGATCTATATACAAAGAAACTCTCACCTGTACAATCGTGACCATATCACTTGTGGTCGCGCACGATCCACCGCCACGCCGCTCGATCCTGACCTCGAAAGTCGTTCGATAATTCTAGCCACGGTCAATGCAGCCGCGTTATCCCGATGATCTTAAGCATACATAATATATCTGTTTGCAGGTGTACATGATTCCCAGGCAATTTCGTAATCTTTAGGTCCGTTTCCTTCTAGGAAAGATACGTCGGGCGCGTGCCATTGATGTTAGTCCGATTTATAAATTGAGATCTAGAGATTGAATTGAGATTCATAATTAAACAAGACTGCGTCGTATGTGTTTAATATATTAGCGATGTTCTTGTTTCTGCAATTTAATTTAAACAGATATCTTTTCCTTGTTGAATTTAATAATTATGTTGACCGACTTTCGACCGAGTCGATTGATCAAGATAATGAAATAAATATGCATTATTTTCTATCATTAAGATGCTGTTTGTGAGTGAAAAAAGGAAATAATTAAATTAAAGATTTTCAAGAGAGAGAGTTAAAAAGATTATCTAAAATTTATTTAAATACGCAGAATATCTACAAGCGATTGCGTTTATTTCGCTTTGATAAGAATATATTTTTATGTGTTGTACGCGAATTGCATTCGCGTGGAGTTTAAAATATTATATTTTCACAGATTGCATATCTTTTATAATATTTCTTATTGCATTTTATTTCTGTTAATACTTACCAGCCGGTTTTATCAGAAGCTACTTTTTAAGCAGCATCATGATACTCTTTCAAAAAACGAAAAACCTGATTTCCCCAAAGATCGTGCGATCGATAAGAATGGAATTCGAATGATTAAAGCATGACGTTCAAAGGATCACGAATTCTTAAAAGTGTGGTTTGACCTTAAGCCATGCTGACTCGCCACATCAAACCTGTTATCAACTCGCTTTCCGCAAGTGACCCATATTCTGCTGCCCGGTTTCTGTTTTATTCCATCGGTGTACTTTTACCGCTTCATTCCGAATTCGTGCATCTGAATTCCTTCTCAAAGACTCTTTTCAGATCCCGTCTGAAAAACTCTCACACGCTGAATTCCATTTGTCACCAAAACAAATTCCTCTTATTCCAATTCGACGTTTCTGTCTATTTCAACTCGATGATTTTGTTTATCAAGTATCTTCGATAAAATATTTAGTGATTACGTGATATAAAAATGAACAGAGGGAAAGCAATAGAGCTGCAAAGATAATCACGCTAGATCGATAATAAAAATACAGAAGTAAAATATATGAGAAAATTTTAATGCATATTTACGAAGCGAGAGAAGTAACGCGGGAGAAAGTGAGAGAGATCGAGAAAGTGAAAGAAATGACGAATTTGGAAAGGGAAGATAAATGATAAAAGAATAGAGATAAAGACATTATCAGGAAGGACATGTTACAAAAGTACTTGTTGCAATGACGCAACAAAATGTTATGAGAACAAAATGAGGAAGCACGAAAAGCGAGAGCGATTTTGCGTCGATATCGTTTATACGCAACCATACGTGAAGTGTTATCGTCGGCGCCGGAATATTGACGGCGTTGCGATTTTAATTAGCTCTCTTGATGGAACGATCAGTTGACTGGCGCGTCTGACTTGTGTACGCATTACTTTTTAATAATACTCTAGACTATGTGTTTAAATATTTTCTTACAAGACATGAATGATAATATTTGCTGAACACTGATTGTGAGTGTTTTGTTTCAGTGCATGTCTTGTGCAATGGTACACGTGTGTTATCAAGATGTTACCGGCGTGACAGGTATGTTATTCAGAGCACACGAAACGCGATATCTTATGATTATATCTTACGTTTTAAGATTCTGTTATATTGTACACAGATACTATCATAGATGCTATCCATAAATGCTGTATGATTATGTATAAGCAACGCAACTCTCAACGGAGCTATCTACATCGCTTTTATCAGAGGTGTGTTCATAATTAATATTAGTAGTGTTTTATATTTTACATACAAATGTGGATGCTGATGATAAAAACGCATACAACATTTATAATTATTATATTTATTACAGAGCTGGGATTTAATTGCAGTTCCTGTTATTAATTACTATTAAAATTATAGGTTACCATATTTATAACACAGAGTTGATATTTATTATAGCAAGTTTTTCTCTTACTGCTGACGTTTTAAATATGTAAATGTATAACTCTTATGTGTGAAACTGAGCAGCAACTCTCGATCAGCCTATTACAAGCACTATCGAGTGCGTTTCTCATAATCGTAGCTAGAGTCGTCAACCCGACAACGATACTCGTAAGTGAAATTTCACAGGTTTATAAGACGTCGAAGCAATCACTTTAAATCTCATTCTTCTTGCGTGGGACTTAAGATAGTGTTGAACTATTTTGATTTACATATGTTATCTTTTAGAAACTAATATTCGCGTTGATTGGTATTGTTGCGATATTTATTTATTAATTTTTTATATAACCATAGAATTTTTTTCAGATAATGCGTTGTACTATTTGGTAATATTGGTAATATTTTTTCCGCAACTAAATATTGGAAATTTTATATTAATTTTTAATTATACATTTAAAATTTTTATATATTTTACATTGCGACGCTCGATTTAATTTTCGACGCACAAGGTTTACGTGATCTAATTCGTATATAAAAAGTATCATTAAAATTAAATTTCTCTCTTCCTCTCGGAAGTAAATTGCGTCAACAGTTGTCCTAAAATTCTGCGCTCGCTAATCATTCGTCATCTTTTAAATTGAATGACAGGCGCAGGTAATGTTTTCTTCATGTCATGAGTGAAAGTAAAATGATGTCAATTATACGATTTTTTTCCTTCAAGTACTATGATTTAGCGTACTGGGAGGAGTCAAGTGACTGACTATGAATTCCTGATGACTAACCAAGATTACCTTTTTACCGACTCCTCATTCTTATATGCGGAAATACGTTTATCATAAAACAAAGACAAAAACGCGAGAACAGATGTGGCAGCTTTTTCACTCATTCCTATTTCACTTTCAAACATTACTCGTCTTTTAATATGTAGCGAAACTTTATCTTTTTCTGTTTGCGATATCAACGTGTTTATGAGCAAAACAATCAACATATTTCTTTTATAATACATTCTATACAATGTGTAACAATTTATGACTGATAAGCGAAGCTAACAAATATTTAGCGCATTGAGATATTTATTTTATATATAATATATATTCTTTCAGTCAGTATTAAAAATCTAGGTCGCAAGAAAGAAATATTTCTTATATATTACAAAGAAATTAAGAACAATTTAAAATACTGTTAAATTTTATAAAATACTGTTTTTTTCTTTATTTAAAGAATATGTTCCGTACTTTATTAATTTTTGCGATCGACGGTGAAACTAATAAATCTATTTTACTCTTCTAGCTGCATCACTTAGACTCGCTTGGTTTTTGCATTTTGCGGTGCAACATAACCAAATGTCAACGAGTTGAGGTTTAAAATTTGATAGGAAAAAACGATTTGCTAGAAGTAAGCAGAGTAAGCAAAGCTGCTCTTTACGCGCGACGGTTTAACCGCGCCTTTTTCTCAGCATAAGGTGAAAAGAAATTTGCAAAAGAAATTTGTGAGCGCTCCAGAAAGAGGCTTTCAGTAGATTCCAATGCATACGAGAAGCATTTCTTACCGGACAATAAATATCTTGCATTCACCCGAAAACATTTCATCTTTTTCTCATGAACATTATTAGTGCAAAAATAATCGCGACAATTCATACATGCCGGCACAAACAAATTGTCTCAATGATGTTCAATATGTTAGAACCGCAGCATTTTTTAAATCCAAAATCATAAAACAAACTTTTTTTTCGTATAAACAATCGTTTTTAAAGTTATTTACAGACTAAAGCTTTTATAAATCCTCATTGATAAAGTCAGAAGTATTCAGCTCTTTTCTTCATCTGAAAGTATGACAAGTATTTAAATTCCAAAATAAGATAAAAATTGCATTACCGCGGTTTTAATGATGATTATTGCGGTTTGACTCGCAATATGCACTTTCCTCGTTGAAGTCTGACACCTTTCTTGCGGGTCCAATTCGAGAGTAAGGAATGCAAAATAAACTAGTTCTGTCGCGGATCGAGAAACAATTGTATTTTCTCCCGACGCGTGACGGGACTGCGTACTGTGTCTGCAATGTGATTAATTGCGCCGAGCAATAAAATAACACGAAAAAAGCGGAATGGCGCGACTTTTATCGCGTTGAGAAATTAAATCGTTGGCTCGGCGCTCTCGCGTGGCAATTAAAAACGACTTAGCGCATCCTATCACGCTGGTCTCCTAAGATTTTCCTCAGCTCGAAAGAGTATCGCGCGATATCGCTCATAAAGATATCTTTCCGTGGGAAAACGGACCAGCCATTAATGGAAAATATCTCGGACAAAATGTGCGGAAGGTGGAACGACCTTCCGCGTGCGCTTTCTCAAAGCACCTTTGGCAAACAATGGCGAGACAAAGCGAGGACGAAATTTCGATCTGCCGCGAGAAAGAGAAAAGTGATAAATCTTTTCGACGGACCTCTTGTTCACGTGTCCGGCATTGTTCGCCGGTCTTCACGTTGCAAGTTTCGGGTGATCTGTCTTATTTTTTTTTCTTCTCTCTCTCTCTCTCCGTTTTTCTCTCTTAAAAAGGTTGTTGACTTCCTCGGAAGAGGATGTTGTCGTTTCGATGAAAAAAATTGCGATGCCGATAGGAATCGCACGGTCCGCTTTTACCGCAGGTGAGACCTGATTTGCAAAACACGTGTGAGTATCCCCGGCGTTATACTGGACTACGATCTCGGCGCTGACGGTGCGACGTTGCGCCCGATACATCAGCGCGGGGAGACTACCTTCACCTAGACCTTTCTTTTGCCATGCAAGAGGGGATCCATGTATAAAGACTTTCTTCTTGGTAGCAATGGCATCAGAGACCACAATATCAACCACACGACTGACATCCGGCGACAAGGAATAGTTACTAAAAGGCAATTCTGGCAAGCATGCGATCCATTGTGAGTACATTATGTTTTAGTTTTACTTTTTAGTTATATATATATGTGTGTGTGTGTGTTAATTGCTCACGCTTTTGTAGTATCAGTTATATTATGTTTGATTTATGCTTTATACGTTTTAAGCAAGTATTTTTTACGCCATTTTTTAAGCAGAAGTTTAGACAGACTTTAAAAGACTTTTATTTCATATTAAATCTTCAAACTTTCAATGAAACTAAATTTAATAATTAATAAATAAAATAATGGTTTATAAAAATATTATTTTTGTAAGTTTTCATGAAATTTCTATTAACGCATTAACTATTATTATCAATAACGCATATTATTATAACTAATAACACTATTATAATTGAAGTTTATCTGCTTTGATGTCAATTATACGTTAGATCTATTTTAACTATAATATTATTGATATTATCTGGAATCTGATTTTAATTAACTGATTGTAATTGCCCGTGACTGATGTGACACGCAATATTTACATATTTTATGTTAAATTTATTATATTATATAATGCGTTACATCACACGCTTATATTAATTACGATTCATCTGCTTTAAATTACAATTGAATAAACTGCCGCGAATACTAGTCCAACAATGACAGCGCTAATTATCAATACATCAGATCTCGCGACACGTTAATAAGTGAATATCGGCTTGTGACACGATTCGTGCAAGTTTACTCAAACTAACGCCGATATCTTCATTTATTCGGCTGACAGACTCAACTACCTCCACGACGGTGCAAATTAACAACGTCCCGCGCTCAATTAATCCAACTATTCATAGCATAGTTAAGCAATCTAATTATAACTCAGGTAACCGACTAACAGCTTTGCGTATTCCACTTTCACGCAAGCCGGTTAAGCCCAAGAAAGTGGGCCACCCTCGAAAGTGATGTGCAGCGCACGAGTGGTGTGCGGCGACGCTAATCTTCCGTTCGCGTAGGTGTTACTGGGGCTGCTGGCGGCGCTCGTCTGCGACGCATGCTGCAGGGATCAGCGCGGCGACAGCCCGCCGCGTCTGTTTCGGCTGGGTCCGCCGAAGGACAAGCGCGGCCTGGGCGACCATCCGGCGACTTTCCATCCGTCGCACGGACCCATCTCCTACGCGCGCCCGTTCATCCGGGTCTGAGTTCCGGTTACGGCCTCGGGGGCTCGTCCGGCGGCTTTCCGCTGGGGCTTCACGGCTTAGGCGGCTCAGTCGGTCACGGAATCGGATACTCCTTGACTCCGTCCGCCCACCTCGCGTCCGGATACATCTCACCGGGACAGAGCCACGGCTCGCTGGGTCTTCAGGGTCTTTCGCTGGGCGGACACGCGGCTCAGAGCACGTACTCCGTGCCAAGCGTGGCGAGCCTCGCCGGCGGAAACAATGGATTCTTCATTCCCTCGAAAACCGGCCCCGTCACCTTCGGACTGCACGGCGGCGGCGGCGGCGGCGCCGCGAGCACCTCGCACGGACTCTCGGCGTACAGCAACGGAGGAGCATCGAGCATTAGTCTTCCGGTGATGCTGACGTCGTCGCACGGTCTGCTGGGCTCTTCCGGATCGAGTTACAGTCTTCCCGTTCACTCCGCGTCTTCCGGTTCTTCGTATCCCGTGACGGGCGGCCTGGTCATCGGCAGCGGCTCGCACGGATCTTCGAGTTACAGCCTTCCGGTTTCCGGATCGACGCACGGCATCTCCGCTCTCAGCGGCTCGTCAGGATCTCACGGGGCGTCGTCTGCGTACGCTCTCCCCATCGCATCCGGATCTCACGGGATCTCCGCGCTGTCTTCCGGTTCCGGATCGCCCAATTACGCCGCGTCCGGTTCCTCCGGCAGCCACGGCGGACTCTCGAGCGCGTCGTCCGACAGTTCCAGTTACGAGGTGCCGATCTCTTCGGGATCCTACTCAAGCTCTGGATCGTCCGGCTCCAACTCGTACGCCAACTACCTGTCGCCCCAGGACAGCAGCTCCAGCTATTCGTCCGGCGGCAGCACAAGGTACAGCAGTCCTGCCGTGTCGTACGCAACGTCGAGTTCCAACTACGTGGACGGCTCCAGTTCCGGCTATTCCGGCACGGCTTCCAGCTATTCCGCCCCTAGCTCGAGCCACTCGAATCCCAGTTCCAGCTATTCCAGTCCCATCGTGTCTTACGCCGGAACTTCCGGTTACACACCCAAGTACTTGAGTCCTTCCGGCTCGTACGGGACGCCCTCGGAATCGCAGGGATCTTATTCCAGCGTGAGTCCGCGGTATCTCAGATACGTCCTGCCGAAAGCGTATGATAACGAAGATTCCGAAAGCGTCAAGTACGACACGATCTCATACTCGAGTCCCGACGGCAAATATTCAATCGTTTAATTTATATTTTGAAATAGATCTTTTTGCATTTTCCATACTTTAACGTTATTCGCGCGTTATTAACAATAACAGCGTGCAATTATGGAATCCGCGTTTGGATTTCAGGATGAGTTTGTCGTAATTTGAGATTGCTGAATGATTATTTCTATGCTGACTCGATCTTGCCATGAAAACTTATAGTGGCTATTTCTGATCTATGATATATTTGAAGGCCGAAGAGCCACGCGTAACAATAACGCTCCAGAGGGTCCTCTGAATATATATACATATATGCTTAAATATTTTTAAACCATTTATAGAAAAATGTTCATGTTGTAATCGTATATTTAATGCAAATTGTTATCTATTTATATCACTGATAGAATTTAAATATACTCCTTCCTGTTGTATGCTTTTTGTATTACTGATAATTGTGTGATTTTGTTGTCTAGTTTTATATCTTTTTTTTTTTTCAATAAAAAAGATTGACATACTCACCAGAAAACCCACTTTAAATCTTATGACAGTGACATGTGCGAGCACGTGTCAGCGAGGATGACCGATTAATTTAGACCGCTCGTAAATCACAACCAGCACAAATATAGATTTCTTTTTGGAGAATACTATTGTTAAGTTGCGCGTATTGCATATTGCATGTGGCGTGATAAGACGCTTCGTTCTAATTTTTTGTCTCTCAATAAAGAACGAACACGCACCGAAGTGATGGAAGAAATTGGAAAAGTGAAAGTACATTCGCGGAATCGGCGAACGGGATGGCATTTATTTTAATCATCGCAATTAAAGATTATAATTGAATACACATATGGGGCGCCGGTTTACTTTCGTGTCCGCGAGTTCACTCGCAATTGACTCGACACGCGTGGGATCGAGAGATATCTGACTGGTTTCTGACACGAAACGTTCCGTTGTTTGTCAGGATAATTGACGTATCTAGCGACAGTTCTGCTTCTTCTGCTTTTACGTGCAGCGCTACCGTGAAAGTTATTGGCCGCGCGCGCGTATAACGGTGCAAGAGACATTGTAATAAAAGCAAGTTCGCCCAAAAAAAACAAAACGGGATCACTTTTACTGCAAGGTCGAGACAAGTTGGAATGAATAGGTATCTTTCTAAAATCTTTATTTTATTCGAGAAAGTGCCACCGATCAGCAAAGACGTCGACTGTCGGCTGGATAAATTTAATATGATTCACGTAGAAATTAACAATTTTTTTTCACCTTTTTTCTTTTGATATTATATATAACAGTGCAAATAATTTTATCGTAAAGTACAACAATACAATATTACAATACGATATGTATGTGAAATATAACAATATTTTATTCATTTATTTTTATTACAATTATCGCTGAACTTGAAAATGCTTATCTAATTGATATAATTATTTGTAAACTTCTCAAAAAAGTATTTTAAATTATTATTATTATTATATTATTTTTTAAATGAAAGATTTTGTAGGAAAAATTTCAAGTATTTTAACTTTTTGCAATTTCTCTTGTTATATGAATATTATTGTATTCTCTTTATAAATTTTGTAAAAAATTACATTAACATATCTTAATTAAAATTACTTATCAAGATAACGCTGTCGCCTACGAATAAAAGGCTCGATATCCATCAATCAGTAATTTATACGACAGGAACTCAGCCGCTTTCGTTAATCAAGTTTTCGACACGGCCACGGAGATGCGCAGCCGCCCACGCAAGAAAGCGATCGTAGTAACGCCGCCGATCGCGCGTTATTCCTCGTGCGCATCTGACCTAGTTTCCGCGTTCTACACCTGAACACGCACGCACTCACGCACGCAAGGCGCGACGAAACGACGCGAGAGAGCCGTGCACGCACGGGCCGACACGCAGTCCCGTCCGGCCGTCTGGGTTTGGATGTGCAATCCGATCGATATCCCTCGATCGCCGATAACCAACCGGTATATATGCATTTCGCATGTAGAAACGCACGTTTCACTATTTTCCGACTGGTTCTGGCGAGCGACATGCTCGTGCTTCACTCTCACACCTGGCGAGAGCGGGAAAAGTCCGCTCTTACTCTTCGTTGAGATGGCACCCCGGGCGAATCCAGTCGTGCATTCTTTCGTCCCGTGGAGTATTCCACGTGGTTCGGCGATCGGGAGATTCACTTTCGTACCGCATCGACCCGTGACGCGACTCCTTTTTTCGAAGCAAAGTGATTGCTGACTCTGCTGAAATGAATTGGTTCACGGAATTTGCGGAGAGAAACATAAGTACCGTGTGACAGAGAAATTAGAAGAGAAGTATTCTATTATGTTAAATATTTTCTCGTTCTAATATTATTTTTTTAATTAGATCTTGTTTGAGAAAGAAATTTTACAGAAATGCGCATTTTCAATAAATGTATATAATCTTATATATTATATGTTTTTACATTCTTATACTGATGTTATTATAATTTAAGATAAATTGCATGTTATTTCGAAATGTGTATCCTGTTACATCACAAATGATACATTACGGGCGATGGATACCAGCGAGTATAAGCGCATTGCTTTCCCACGATACTTTTTCTTCCGACGAAAGAGAAACCGATAACGATATGGCAATCTGAGAAAACTTTTTTTCCGCATACCGCCGCGATGCAATCACCCTGAATCCGATCGATCATGTTGTTATCAGAGGTGTGGTCTGCGCAGTAGGGATTCGCAGTGGGAGATTCGTGTGCACGAGTGAAAGTAAAGCGAGAAACATTTCCGAAGATACGCGAAAGGCGTTACTCGGACGAGATTGGAAAGGTCCTTCGAGGATGCCGGTGAGCGCTCCACTTCCTGGATCGTTCGATCCTACGCGACTATCGCCATTCTCCGGTCAGCCACCTTTCCGAACTTTTACTAAATCACACGTCGCCAAATATTCATAGAATTCAGCAATTGCGTGCCAGAGAAGAAGATTCTTTGGTAATTACGATCCTAATTATTGTTCCCTTGCGCGATCCCAACAATTAGATTTTCTTCGAACCTTGCACGCTTCCTCATAACATCCGGCAGACACGTGACCGTCTAATGCATACCGTCGCTGGGTGACGGTGAATCAAAATCCATCGCCGTTCGCCGTTTGACGGTCGATCTAGCGGCATTCTACAATATATCTTTTCACTGCGCCACTGCGGGCGGGCACTATCACTTCCAGACCTACATATAAGAGCAGAGAAATGTTAAACTAGTTTCCGCAATTTTTCTGGCGATCGGGTATAAAGGAGAAATTCAATGTCGGCCGGTGTGTCATTAAAAGCGGAACCGTCGCGTCGGTCTGATCTGCGAAATTGCTGGCGAACGCGGTGTCGGATGAGATAGCGATTGAATATAATATCGAAGAAAGCATAGTCTCGTGGCCACTCGACGGCGATAAGTGAATTGTGGCAGACATGGAGCGACTGGTTGGTACAAATTTATTAATTAATGAAAAAATTTTCTTTTTTTATTGCAGCCCGCAGCGCTAATTAAACTTGGCATCTGCTGCTTTTTACGGCCTAATTAGCACGCGGAGTATTTTAAAAGAGACTTTGTCATATTTATAACAGTTTTAACAGCTCGCAAAATTTTTATTTCAGTTTTATTTCTGCGTGAAAGTTTTTATCTCACTTAAACGTGTATGTGCTAATGTGTTTTGACCTAAAGCATAAATTGAATACGTGATAAACGACAAGATACGTGACAAGATGTTTCTAATAATTTTTTTTAATTGGAAAAAAGATCTGCATACAAATATAGCGTTACTAATTCAAGCAAATTTTTGCAAATTGACCGTATTAGAGCGTGAATAGTAATTTTTGGTTTTCTGCAAGAAACAATTGGTATAAAAATAAATATAAAAATGATGAATCTGCTTTTCAATTAACATACTTGTGATATTACGAATAATTTTTTATTGCGAATATAAAATGCAAATATTGAATTGTAGATATTGCTCTGCTTGCTGCTGTCACCGGTAATTCTCGCGCAGCCACGTGAAAGCAAGGACCCTAACGACGAGCCGTTTCTACCGATCTTTCCCGACTACCCTTACACCCCCAAGGTAATCAAACGAGGCGCCGAACGAGAATTGACGACGCAATTAACGCCGGAGTTGTACGCGCCGAAGGTCGACGCCAAGAATTCCTACAGTTCCAGCTACAATACCAACTATCAAAGAGATCCTTATTACAATCCCGATCCGAGAAACAGCTCGCCCGCGCCCGCTTATCCGTCGTATTACAACGGCGACGCGTACGCCTACGTTCATTCGCCGTACGCCGTCTACAACACGTATCCCACCCCGTACGCAGTGAACCCGGCGTCGTATCCGGTGTCGTATCCGAATTACTACTACCAGCAGCCCTATTACTCTCATTATTACAATCACGCGCTGTTCCCGCCGCCGCTGCCGCCGTCGCCGCCGCCGCCCCCGCATCAGGAGACGTCGCAAGACTCCGCGGAGGACGACAGGCACGGCAAACAGAGCAAGAAGCTGAAGGACGACGAAACGAGTCAGAACGTGCCGTCGACGAGCCAGTACGTAGACGGTGGAAACTACATATCCGGCGGCGGCGGCGGCGGCTCGAGGGATCTCGACGTGCAGTCCAGCACGTACAAGCTGGCAGGCCCGTATAATCAACTCGAGGGCAACGTCCAAGTGAGGAATCTGCCGATACCGCTTCCGAAGGCGACGTACAGGCTGATCAATGTAGCGGGACAACCGGTCAATCCAAATTATCCGCTGCCCACGACGTACATCAAGATTCAGCAGATGGAGCAGCAGGTGAGTCAAGCGTTAGCCAGGCTGTTGGCGCAGCAGCAAGCAGGCCAGTCCTACGGGAACCACAGGGAACACGCTTTGAACGCCGACGCCAACGGCGGATTGTACGCAAACGTTTACAATCTGAATGCGGCGCCGTACGTGACTCTTCCAACCGTGAAAACCAAGCCCGCCGTCGCCTTCGTGATAAACGCCGACGGCACCGCCAAAGTCAATGGCGGCCAGGCGAGTTCGCAGGACTCGTCGGCGCAGAGGAACAAGGGTACAAAATCGAGCGTCCTCTACGTGCGGAAACCGGCGACCCTGGAGAGCTCGCAAACGGCGAGTCCTAAGCAGCGCGCGAGTGACAGCCGATCGGCGGATCAAACGGACGAATACGACGGCTACGGCGCGTCGCAGAGTTACGCCGACGACAAGCAGAAGTCAAATTATTATCAATCGGGCTCCTCTTATCAGAGCAAGGATTTGGCTGTCACGCCTCGGACACCCCAACCGTACAGTTATCAGTATTCTGCTTATGCGTCGGATGAGACGCAGCAGCCGCAGTCGCAAGGAGATAAAATTACTACGGATAGCAATTTTGGAGCTAAACAATATAACAAGGGCTGATTTATTAATACGCAATAGTAAACGTAGCGATAGGACGAAAGAAAACAATGCTATTATGTATAAGATGTAAAGTACTGTTACTCTTGTTTCTTTTTTGTTGTATTTTTGTTGAACTGACGCGGTTTATTTTATTCCTAGCTACATAATTCTTACGTAATCATTGTATGTATCTTGAATATCAAGCAGTTTTTATCAATATTATATATTTATTAATACGCAAATTACTAATGAAAATTCTGTGTAGACATTAATTTTTGAGAGTTTTACATAATTTATAATATTTATATTCTAAAAGTTTGAATTAAAATCTATTATTTATAAGACTGTAATAAATTTAAAATTTCTCACTGTTATATTCTATGATTTATAATATTATATAATGTAATATAAATTGCTTATAATTTGAACCCTCAAGAACCTATCAATATCTTAATATAGATCCGCTCTTCCAATTTAACATTTAAGAATTATAAGATAAGCTAGATTAGATTTATATAATGAAGCTTATAAGATAAGCTAAATGGGATTTGCTCATACTTTAAATTAAAAGAAACGCATTCACACTTCATATACTTTCACCGTCTCGCTAAATCAAACTCGCTTCTTGAAATTAAATGCATTCATCTAATATTATTGATAGGTGTGAATCGACAAATTAGAACTTGACAGCCCGACGTTTCAAGTGATTTACTTTCGCGTTAACCGCTAAATGAAAGGCGATGCTCACACAGGTGTACAGATTGCCATTTAGTGCGTTTATACTTATATCACCGCTTTGCTCCGCGGCTTGATACTTTCTTTTATGCGAGCGGCGAGAATGTCGCTTTTATGCTACCGTGAAAACGCGGGAGATGCTAATCTCGAAACTTTTGAGACGCGAAGAGAGGAGAGAGAGAGAGAGAGAGAGAGAGCACAAAAAGCATGTTTCCTTTTCAGTGATGTTAGTGTCTCAGCATGCATGACAAATTGTTTTCGGAGTCAGAAAGTCGCGATGTCGCATTAGGCCCGATGCTGACTGATCTTGATACAAACCGACGGCGCAAATCCATTTGTGTGTCTCGCGCGACCCACATGCGAAACGTCGAATTTTTAAATACCAGTTTTGTAGTCGCTAATAATAAACGATCCTTTATGTTTCCTTAGACGTGTGCACTCCTTTCTCTTCGGCGCAAGTATTGCAGACCGGTTTCCCTTTTGTGTCTGTTTTCGTACTTTACTTTCATTCGATGAGCGACGGGTTCCTGTTTTTTTTTCCTGCCATGCTCCTCGACGTAATTACACGCGTGTCATCATAAGCCACGATGTGCATGAAAATCTAGTGTGTTAAGATGCGGAAATTTGTACGCACGAGGCAGATTCCAAAAATTAACCGTATTATTAACGCGGTACGCGCTTTATGCGTCAGATAATTAACGCGTACGCGACGATGCTCTTTTTATTTCCTACCTTTGCGCCTACAATGCTTAACAAACTTTACAAACAAATTCTAAAACTATGATTAACTTATCTTATCGAGCATTTAAATATATTGAAATCAATGTCACAACATTGTGCGCCTAAAATTATATAAGAAACGTTGTCTTCTCACGTTGCAGATGTTTGACAATAGATTGGAAAGTGAACGTTTAGAGTGAAACCAATGTAAATTACAGACTAGCCACAATAAGATGTACAATGTGACAACTTTATCTCGAAATTCCACGAAATCATCGGACTAATTAATCCTGCATTCTTTAATTAATTCCACCGGGGTCTTTCCGCACGCCGCCGCTAGGTCTTCTTTCTCTTTTCCTATTTCATGTACAGCTTTTTAATACGGCGCTAATTGACCGTTTGGAATCTTAATTCTTCTTTGTATGGTATTTTAAACGCGAACGTGGAATCGCGCGAGTCATGATAGCTACACCGGAGAGCGGAAGAGATCCGGAGCGTGGCAACGTCCGGTTGATCGTTTGGGTGAGGCGCGCCGGCCGTGATGGAAAGGGGGAAGTGAGGTCTCGCGATCAGTTTACTCAAATCAGATACGGCGTCGAAAGGCAGCGAATAAGATTAGAAATGTTCATAAAGTTTCATACAATTGCGGTCATAAATATTTGCTCATTTTTCGCATTTCTGAAAAATAAGGTAATAAAGATTTGTCAAATGTACTTTTATTTTAAAGTAAAAGCGCGCAAATAAATGCAGTCGATGATTTATCCTGAAATTATACAGCAATTATTTAAATTTCGAAAAAAAATGGAAAATTAACGAAAATAAAGTATTCTTTTTTGCATAACTTTCTAATATATTTTTACTCATTCCACGCGCTTAAAATCATAAATTTGATTTGAATTTCTATTTTATCTTTGGTAATTCAGGAGATTATGTGAAAAGATTAAATATACATAACAGAATTGTAAATTAAGCCGAGTGCCATGAATTTTGAACGGCGATGCTGGCGCGAATATACATCGCGGCAGGTCAGTGAGAGCTTCATGGCGCGCCGTTTTACTTTATTTTCCGCATTCCCTGCTCGCGCGCGTGAGTATGCCGATGATTTAAAATAAAATCGGATGGACCAAGCCCGTTACTTTCTCGCGGCGACTCGATCTCGATCGGTAACATATACGGTGACCCGAAAGCTCGTGGCGCGTTAATTTCTCGCCAAGAGTGCGTGCAAATTCCGGGCAACGAGGCTGCAACTTTTGGCAGCGATCATAGAAAGTCCTGTGCACGCGCGTGCACATGGACATTCGTTATTGTAACTGTAGCATTATTTTCTCTTTATGTTTATGAGCCGTCATGCGTTGCGTTGGCCGCTAAGCGCTAACGTTTTGATGCTGGAAAACGTTACGTGTTGAAAAAAAAATGTTGTAATACTAAAATTAATTTATGTAGAAAATGCGCGAGAAATTGTTCTCTATTTGGCATTATTCTTCAATTATACGCCATTTGCTCTGCTGTTTCAAATCTAGCGAATACGCGATATAATGTTCGTTCTTATCGCATTTTTTTTTTTTTTAATGTTTTGATTTATGTAGCGTTTTCTCTTTAAAAAATTGATTATATAATTCCAAAACGAGTGTTTAAGTATCAGGATTTTGTGTGTAAAACAACGTTAACGGATATCTTGCAGATATCTCAGAATTATAAATGATAATAAATTAAAAAAATTTATTATTTCATATATCAAAAGAAAGTTTTTAAACCTCTCGCTTTCTAAAAATCTTGAGCGATCAAAAGATTATTACAATTAAATAAATTAATTAGTCGCAATATTCTCAAGACGCTGCAAGAAAATTACAGGACATAAGAATATGGAGGAATATATGTTCTATTAAGGATAGCGTTTCATAATATCTTCTCCATTTTTCTACTTGCATTTTATGAGAAAGATTTGCATGCAAATGACAAGCGGTGTTTACGAATTATGATCGCATAATCGATTGAATATGAAAGCGACCCGGCTCAAATCGGCCGTAATAAATTAAGGACGAATGTGCGATTGTAGGCGAGTCCGGCGATCAAGCTCGAGAAAGCGATTGGCCCGAAAGGTCGGATATTTGCATTTTTTTTTGTCGCTTCCCCGGAGAGCGAAACTCGTTCGATCTAGTCCGCTCCCGGTGTTTTGCGTTTTTCTTTTTTTTTTTTCTTTCTTCCTCTTCCGTCACCGCTTTTTGCGCGTGTTTCGTCGACGGGGCGTGCGTCGGGTTCACGGCCGAGAAAGTTTTCTGACTTAATTGCAGTTAATTCGTTGCCAGTGCGGTCCGACGTCGGTGATCGTTTGACGGAACGGCACGTGATCGGTATATGTATAAGACTGTCCATCCACACCCATGGTCGACGTAGAAAGTCTCGGTGCCGTCTGGCCCTCCTCCTCTTTTCACTCCTTCCCTTCCGCTTTGGCAGGTGGAATATGCCTGAGAATGTCCGAGGAAAAGGGTCCGTCTTTGTGCGATTCGCATTGAATTTTGCAGAAAGAGAGAGAGAGAAAGAGAGAGAAAGAGAGAAAGAGAGAGGGGAGGGGGG